TCAGCGCGGGGTTAAGCGTGAGATGTGTCTGAATCACAACTAATCAGAGGGGAGAGGTGCAACCACTGACATGTGATCGATTGTCTATCCCGGCACCTGTCGGGGTCACTTAACTTTCGCATTCGCTTAGGGGCAACTATTTGTGTCTCATTCAGGCAAGGTAACTCACCAAAAGGGGCGCTTTATTTGTAATTTCAGACAACCGACCTCGAGCTTGCATTAGGTCACAATGCCGCTGTTCTGGCGTTTCGTTATCAGGGAGGATGGTTGCTGGAGGAGTTGAAAAAAATAAAAATAAAAAAGTACGCTAGTGTTACAATATCAAGGCCCTCAACAACTTTGAAAATTAAACAATAATTTTCTCCGAATATTTACTTGATATGTGAAGCATGCCATAGTCTGACAAACTTAAAGGCGGAACAAACCATTCAACTAGGAGGTGAAACAGAATGTAAACAATTGAGGAAGTGAGGCTTCTGTATGATGGTTTTGGTATATATTCTTTAAACCGAAATTACTATGACCCATATTGTTTCACCAAGACCAGTATGCTATAAATAAACGCACGGGAGAGACCTATATAACTCTTGCCGTTGTGCTGTAACGTAGGGGTTTCAACAGTTAGTGAATGGAACCTAGGTTTTCCCACGAATGAATGATCAATCACAGGTCCCAGCATATCACCGCAACGGAGTTCGTTGTTGTACTGGTTTTCTTTACTGTGTTTATCTCAGACAGTGAAGTCCGCATCACAAACGTTGCATACACGAAGGCATGCATTCACACACGTGAGCACGAATACACACTTACCATGCACCAAGTAAACACGTACTGAATTCTACTCTGGGTGATACGCTTCAAAAATAAATATTCTTGATTATTCACGTATAAATGGTAAAATATTTCCTATCAGATTAGATGGGAAGCATCAATTTTACGAAAAAGACAGCAGACCTCACACACATGGAAATGACTAGAGTAGGTTTAGTGGATAGTGTGGGCCTTACTAGCTATGCAGTGCATATTGCTGTTTAGACGCGAAAGCAATCCCAGGTTGACTTCACAGTTAATTTCGCCACAGGACGAGCCGACATGCATAGGTTACTATCACATTTTCGTCCATGCCTTTCGCAATTCAAGTTGTCCAAATATCACTTCAATACATCTGGGTATCACGTTGCATCAGTATCACTTAAGCTACCCCAGTATCATCTCACGCTCTAACGTTAGCCTAATCAGCGTTCTCAGGCCCATGTACTACTCAAGCTTCTCAGTAATATCTGGATGGCCGCCATGCGTTACTGAGATCTCAACATCCTGTTGAAACATAGGGAATACGGTTGTGAGAAGTGCTTCGGTCACATGCACCGATTCCCGCGATATATCTTTGTCGTTTACCTTGTTAATAAGCGTACCCGTTTGTATGTGTGAAGTCTCCTCGGGTCATTCTCCGCTGACAATTATGGATCATGCGTGAACAGCGCTTAAACCATTGTCCAAGTCCATCATGTGATTACTTGCACCTCAGGTGGCTGCAATGAGAGAGCAATTGATCATACTCGATCGAAATCTGCATCACTGTTGTCCAGACACCGGATCCAGTTCGTGCACGCTTGCAGATTTTATTCTACCTCTTTGTCACGGTCACAAAACACCAACAAAATTTCCAATCTTTAAGTATTGAATAATCAGAATGACCATTTTGACCATATATAAGCTACGGAGTATGATATCTCCATCCCACTCATTACGACTGGATAAAACGCATCGACGACTGTCAAAATATTCCACAAATTCTGTGATAATTCTGTCATTTTAAAAGACATTTTGAGTTCAAAAATTGGGATAATTTCAAAAATACAATTTTCTCAGTATGGATTCTGAGTTTCGTAGTATTTCCAGAACTTAGTTTCGTCTTTTAATCTGCAGTTGTGTGGGCTAGAATAATGTGTGAAAATGAGCGATGCCCGAACGAATTTGATTATCAATATCTTTACAAACACCATTCGTATTGGGAAAATACACGATAATAACTCTTTTATTGAAATAAACACATCAAAACATGTTGATAATTGTTTTGGTTGTTCTACCGTTTTTTGTTGGATAATTCTTTCTCTCATTGTGCTTCGCATGAGTTAACTTTACGCTTGGTCGAACTTGAACAGATGTCACGCACATTTTACCCTTCATGTAAAGAAGGAATTGAAATAGCCATTATAAAAATGTTCCCACAAATGAACATGATTCCTTTAATCAAACGGTTGCGTTTGAAAGAACGCAACTACTGTCAAAACGATACACCAAGCATGGTTTGACGGTTCTGTAATTTGTTGGGCAAGTCGACATTTTGCTGATCTTTAGGGTGTAAATGGTATAAGCTATCAACCGTTGGGGTCGATTCCAGTTTGGTCAGAATAATCACGTACATTTGGATTCGAGGGAAGAAACTAATTGCACTAGTCACCCCCATCATCTTATGCATGCATTGAGCATTTCAATGTCAGAAATACGTAAGCAATCGCATTTGATTCAAAGGAATCGGTTTTATTCAAGAGTAACTCGGCCTCAATAGAATTTACTCACTGGGTTATTGTGGGCTTAGACTGATTCCACCCATACAAAGAATCATACTCACATTCACGTCTGGGCATGGTGACCGACTTATCGACCCTTCTTGGCGTGATTCGACAGAGGTCAGTTAACTCCGGGTTAGTTCATTCGTGTCTATGACGCACACTCGATCAACGATCACGAACATGACGTTCCCGAGTGGAACGGGTGTGTGTGTGTGTGTGTGTGTGTGTGTGTGTGTGAGGGGAGAGAACGGCCCACCTCGATCCTC